GGATAATACCCATCTAAGATCTAAAATTAATTAATTATGAAGTTTGGAGTGAATTCATTAAAAAAATGCCCACATGTTGTCTACAAAAAAATAAACAAATAAACAAATAAAAAAATTATGGGGTTAAGTTTTTTGAAGGTTGTTAACAAATTTGGATGTTGCTCAAGTATTGGTAAAAACTTTGGTAAATTATTTTGAGGTTACATTGATTTTTACACTGGAGTGATCATTACAAGACTTTTCATTTAGTTGTGAGTGTGTATATTTGTATATGAAATTGTTCACTCTTCAGAAAGTATTATTAATGATAATAACATTATTTAATAATCTGAAACATAAAATTTGAACAGTCAATCACCTGCTTTCTTATATGGCATCAAAATTATGAGGAATTAGGTTTTGTATTGTTATTGAAAACTTGTCCTCTTTTCAGAATTCAAAACTTCTAACAAAAATGACTTTAATTACATATTCATACTTATTAATATATCAATTACATATGTAAATATTTGTTATTGTAAATAAAAGCTTAACACTCTTTAAATAAAATCACACTAATCAAATGTTTATGATAGTACACATTATGACATATTTATACTAGGGAATTGCTATGTGGACACCCTCTTTCTTGTGTGTAGATATTTCCCTTTTGCCATGTAGATTCCCCTACATGAACAAAATAAAATTCTTATTTACATTAAAAAGTTATGGAGTAAAGTTACAATAAAATATTCTTTAGATATAATTGATAAGGTTTTAAATTTAATGTAAAAATCATGCAAAAATATATTCAAAAAAAATTGTGAATAAATAAAAAAATCCAAAACCCATTGCACACAAAACAAAAAAACAAAAAAAAAAAAAACAAAAACAAAAAATGGTGCAAAATTAACCTATTTGTTTTTGGATTTTTACTATGTGTATGGCATGGTGCATGGCACATGGGTATCCATGCAATACAAAGGAGATGTCCACCCAGCGGTTATACAATAGTCAATTTTAGCAATAAATAAGTAAAAATAATATATAGATATATATATGTTTTGTTAAATATATGTATAATAATTACTATTAACTATTTTTATTATATAGTGTATCAATAATTGAAAAAGACTCAAGTCTTCAACCATTTACATAGACAAAATATATATTTAACATATATATTTCATGTACTTGATGAACTTTATTGAATTATTGATTAGAAAACAAAAAGAAGGTAGGTAGTTGAAGGTGCAGGAATCATTCACAAGAAGTCAATTTAATTTCAACATTGGTTAGATGTTTGATGATTGCAATGAATACAAAAACTAAAAATATCATATATATAAATATTTCTTTTCAATATATATATATATATATATATATATATATAATGGTATAAAATATACTTTTAGAGTATTTTAAAAAAACTTGAAATAAAGAATTTTCTTGAAACAATTTGTTTTTTGAATACATCATGATAGCAATATACAATTTTCTGGATTTTCTGGATTACATATAATTATATATCATGATAGCAATATATAATCCAGAAAATCAATTTTCTTGAAACAATTTGTTTTTTAATTATATTCCAATGCATCCTTAATTAAATAAAGGCCACAAATTTTTTGTTCTGTATGTGTGGAATTCAAATTTACTTGCTTAGGGCATAAATTAGATTCTATAAATTTATTTGAATCAAATATTTAAAGTGTAGAATGTAATTAATTTCGTTCTGTAATTCAAGTTAACCACAATCTATCATGCACATTCAGGTTTCCTATTAGAAATCTGTAATATTAATGTCGGTAGAAAAAGTCAAAAGTTGATTTCATTATCCCAATTAAGATTGATGAATATGTCAATAAATTTATGAAATTGTTGAAATAATCCAGGTATTTACTTAATCAACTCACATATCATCATTGGTCGAGGATCCAACCATTTTTTCATTGGTTTTTGACCAATATAGATCCAGCAATGGATAATTTTTTGATGATGGTTAGGATGGATGGGTCAATTTAGTAAATACTTTTGCTAAGATATTATATTAGGTTGTTTTTAGCAGCATAAATTGTCAAAGACTTTTATCAAATACTATTGAAATGAATTTCAAATTCATAAATTCTATTTCAAAGAACATCAAACTTTAAAAAAGCTTAATTTTGCAAAGAGAATGGTTGAAATGCCATTCAAACAACATGTTTTGTTAACAATGCAATGAAAATGCTACATCATGCAATGAGTTTTGAAAAATAGAAACACAAGTATATAAACCATTAAAAATTCTTTTTCTTATGTATCAATGTTATATTATTTGCAAAGTAAAAAGCTCATCCGAAACATCATTGAGCCGCTTTTAGTCTTTATATTTTGACTAATAATAATCAGATAAAAGTCAATGATCATTCATAAAAAATAAAATACATGACCATTTCAAAGCAAACTATTCACAACCTTGGCTTTGAATTCCAGTATTAAAACTTGAACTCAATTTGTAAACAGGGTCAATGTGGATTTGGTTATTCATCTCTTCCTTCTACAAAATAAACTACTTCATAATGACCACTTAGAAAATTCTCTTTTCACTGTACAGTAGATGATAACAACTGCCACGTTTTAACAGATTAAAAAAATAATGATAAAAAAAAAAAAAAAAAAAAAAAACACAAAACTGTGTAAAACATAACCAAACAAAAGACATGAAAAAAAAGAAAAGAAGTAACGTGAATGCTAAAACACTTTTGGAAGGAGCTATGGAATCTGTGTCCACTCTCTACTCTCTCTGTAATGGTGCAACATAGCCCACCACCACCACCCAGCAGGACCCGCCCATCCAGGCAACGAACTACGCTTCAAACCAGGCCACATACATTCCAGACCAAGGGACACAGCCTGGCATCATTCTACCACACACACACAAACCAGGCACTGAACCAGGAATCCAACTCGGCAATGAAATCAAGACATACCAGACACAAGAAAATCGAGTAAGGAACCCAGCATCAAACTAGGAAACCAACCAAGAAAAGGAAATCAATCAAGGAACCAGGCATAAAATCGGGGCATCACACCAGGAACCAAACGAGGAATCGAACCAGGATTCAAACCAGGCACCGGCGAGTGCGTTGTCGTCGTCGTGGTGTTCAGCTGCGAGCGATGCTGCCAAGTGCAGTGCAGCTCGCTTTGCCCCACCCCCCCCCCCCCCCCGCCTTTATGGCTCACACGGAGCGAGCGAGGGGCCCGCGGAGGTGAGATGGTCGGCATGAGGGCGAGCGGACTCACTCACTGGCGGGGGGGGCGGGGGGGGGGGATGGCTGGCTGGCGCAGAGCAGGGGCAAGGCAAGGCAGGGCACTGGAGGGAGGGAGGGAGGGGGAGAGAGAGTGAGGGGGGGTGTGAGAGTGCAGTGCAGTCCTTCCTGCGCTGTTGTGATTCCTGTTGCGGGGCATCAAGCAACGAATCTGGGTTCAGGCAGGCAATTTGTATTATGTGTGCCTCTACCCGGGCTACTTATCATCATCACAATAATAATAATAACAACAACAATGCATGCATGAATGAATGAATGAATGACTGAATGAATGGCGCACACACAGCGTGCCTGCGTCACCATAGCCCTAGATAGATAGAGCACAGCACCAGCACTCTACCCCCCTCCCCCGATTGCACTCACTCCCTCCCTCCCTTCGCACTCTCTCTCTCTCTCTCTCTCTCTCTCTCTTGCTCTTTTTCTTTCTCCCCTCTTTGGTTTTTCTTTGGGGTCTGTGCCCTTTTTTCCCTCTCTCTCTCTCTCTCTTCTTTCTACGTTTCTAGCTCCTCGTCCCTCCTTTTCTTTTGATCATTCTTCGAGGTCTCATGTCAGATTCCGTCCAGTTCGTTTGAAACGGTTTTTTATTTTATTTGAGAATGGGTTTGTCTTGTTGGCATTTTCCGTGTCCGTGTCAAGGTTATCTCACACATTGGCATCAAGACTTGGCTATTTATTCTGTATGTGTTGTTTGATTCATTCTGACTGTGAATTAGAATAACAGTAAGAATGATAATGATAAATTCCGTGTCATTTTTTCTCATCCATCTTAAATTTTCTTGTCCTGTCGCTTAGGGCGTAAAGTACGGGGGCTTGTAAATAAAGTCAGAAATATCAAATACAAATCTGTACTTGACAATCAACATTTTAAACATTCTAAAGCTTATGGTTTGTTCGACTGATTTTTCGTTGGAATGTTATTTAGCAACTCGTTGCAATGGGGGAGGCAAATGGTGCTCTAATTGGGGCAATTTTTGTGAAGATGAAACAGACTGTAAAATGATGGTGGAAAGCTTTGTGTCTCGGATCGATCGCTAAGGGCTTCGCTGCTCGTGGTGGTTGCGGTAACCTCTCTGCAGTTAATGTTTTCAGTCATTTTAGGTGCACTTAATAAGCTCCCACAAAAATAGAGAGAGAATCCTTCGACATGTGCTTGATGCATTGGTTCTCTACTTTGCGTCGTCGCCCCATCATCCGGCTACCAGACAAATCACTTGTCTTCACCGAGCCGCAGCGGAAAACTAACGAAGAGCCGATGAAAATGGGAACGGAGATGAGTTTTTAATTTCGCGACGAAAGTCGGACGAAGGACTTGCCGTCGTCTCGGTTTCTCCTCCATTTCCAATCGCGTCTCTCTCTCCCTCTCTCTGTTTTTGTCGCAGACTTTCAGGCTCATTGCGCTTTATTCACCCCCCTTTTCTGCACTTCGTGCTCTCCTGCTCTCCCTTCTGGGCATCGTGCTCTCCTGCTCTCCCTGCTGGGCATCGTGCTCTCGTCGCATCTCTAAGTTCGCGTCGCAGAAAAGGATTTCTCCTCTCGTCTACCGCCGCCGAGGTGCCGGTGCTTTTCTCTTGAGTCATTACCCGTCTTCGAATGCACCCTTTTCTCTCTGCGTGCGATGCTCTTGTGAGCGTGCCTGGATGGGCGAGGGTTGTGGTCACCGTTGTGCTGTTTCCAGGTGTGGAGTGAAACGTGGGTTTTAGTGAGTGATTCGTGTCATGTCGGGAACGATGGGTGGTGTTTTTTTTGTTTGAGACGGGCGTACGATTTTCAGTACGGGATTGGCGAAGTTCTGTGGAGTTGTGGGGTTGTTTGTATTGTTTTCTTTGCTTTTTCATCCTTCTATTTCCGTGTTTGTGGTTGTAGCGTGTTGCGTGTTTGATCGTGACGCCCCTCTGAGATTTATTTGATTTCGAAACAAACACACACACACACACACACATATATATATATTCACCTTATTCAAGGTTGTGAAGCGTGTACTTTTATTAGAAAATGGTCACGTCCTCGGGTTTTGTCAGGTTCTAGATGCGCTTGCCGAGTTAGGTTTCTCTCCATGTTTTATGTAAGGTGTGTTGAGTATTTGGGAGGGCCGCGCTAGGTAGAATTGGCTGGCTCTGCCAAGGACTGTGGAATCACAGACTTTGGGCCGTGAGCGATGGCTCTTCGCTTTCTTGGAGGCCCTTTCGACAGTACGACCGTGCCTGAATTTCTTAATGTGCTAACCCGATCAAGGAGTTGCGACGTGGTCACATCGTCTTGCTTAGTCTTGATGAAAAATGTAGGCCTACCTTGATGGTTCTCAACAACAGGTTCTGATTTCTGAATTTAGCCGGTGTATTTGCACAACCTCCGCGGTTCATGCCTAATTTAAGGATTTTAAAATTTTCGTGTGCGCAGTGTGTGCGTTGGGCGTAGCGTTCACGCCGAAGCATTCTATCCAATTTCACTTCATCTAGACGCTGGAACTTATACAGAATGATATTCAGGACATGACAAACGCTTATCAACATAGTTGCATTGCATTGTCACAAGTGCGTGCTCTACAACTGGATATCATGCTTGGAGGGTGCAGGATATTATTTTGCGACGACTTGCCAGGTCAGTCCCTACCCCATGATTAGGAATTGGCGAATAATTGTTGAAATGCAGCTGGTTTTGCAGTGAGGATATTCAGGAATCAATCTATTGCAATTTGTGGTATTCGATGAATTTTTTTTAGCTGCTGGCAGAGAGATCGAGTCCGATTTCGCATAGTCTAATAATGTTGGTCTATGATTTTGTGCAATGCAGGAATTTTAGCACCTCTAACATCTACGCACGCAACACCTATTCCAACATAGTAACGTAAAGTTAGGCACAACGGCGGCGATACCTGTCCCAAGTCGTAGGGAGGAGGAAGTCCATCATATTGAGAGAGGAAAGAAAAGAGTGTGTACCCAGGCAGCCAAAACGGGGTCCCTTTGCTGTGTGGCCGCAAGGCCACATGGACCGTCCGAGAATGCTCACAATTGGCCGAATGTGGGGGACAAGCCTCGTTGGCATACCAATGAGGGATTTGCAGCGCCGCACGCCAGCTCGCATTTGGGTCATTCTCAAAGTGATGACTACCTGGGTACTTCGTCCCGAACGGTTCCCACTCCCAGGAGATCTTTGTCTTCAAATAGTCGCGGAAGTAGAAGCTGGAGAAGGGTAGACGGTGGTAGGCATTACAACCATTTCCGCACTCCATCTGGGAGTCTATATGGAGGCAGTCCCAACAATTTTATATGGAATCCTCTTGCTTCATCCAGTCATCGTACTGCTGGTTCAATGACAACCGAATCAGGTATATGTTTTTCTCGATCTAATTCGCCCTTTACTGATGTTCCACTCATGTTCTTGAACTTTGGCTTGGTCAGTACAATCTGAGGTGTCTCAAGAAAAGTAGATTCAGTTGCCAATTGTCGGAACTATGTCCAGAGACTACGGTAAGCTTTTGAACTGATCAATACGGAGGGTTTCTCTCAATCATGTCTTTGGTCTTTTTTGGATGGATAGACGTGGTAGTTAGGGCTTGCAGTCTGAAAATGTTGAGACTTTTCTACTGCAGAAATAGCAGCTAGCCCGTCAACTTCGATACCCTCTTCCAAAGCGGTAAGTGCTAATGCGGAACGTGGCAATTCTACCCCTGCCTTCGGTGTTGGGAGTCAAAATCCCGTCTTTCGTATCCATGATATTTGAAGATAAAAGCATTTTAAAAAAATGTAACTTAATTTTCTCAATCGTGATTGATGTCGTACTGGTTTTTTTTGTTTATATGTCGTAATATATTCCTGTTTATTAGTGATTTGGTTTGAATTATGATTTTTTATAGAAGAAAACGCATCTGATGGATCCGAAAAAAAAAAAAAAAAAAAAAAAAAAAACGCTATGCACATATTTGCAGGAGCAATTCTTTACCCGCCCACGTGCATTTTCAAACAAGTTGGAGAGTACTTCGTTGCCATGTGACAATGCCCCAAAACCCCTCTCCACTCATCCGGATTCAAAATTTTCATCCTCTTCCCACGTGGACGACTCTTTTTTGTCCAAGCCCTCATTCCTGGTGCCTGAAAATCCTGCACGAAGAGAGCATTATGAAGGACGTTTTCTCCCGGCAGGTCCAAGTCGAGTGCCATCCTTAGATGGTCGGTTCTCCTTTAACCGATCAAGCTCTAGTAGGAGTTCTAGTCCGGGGGGGAGCTCCTCTGACTGGTCAACATTCCATGGGTTCATGGAAGTGGGTCCTGACGCGCGGCAGGAATGGTTAAGGATGGCAAATGTCACAAGCCAAAATGATTGCGGCTGGAATCTTAGTCGAGAGAGTTATGACAGAAGTTTTGGTCATGTGTACATGGAGAAAATCACCGCTGGTGGTTCCCAGTTAGCCTTGCCCAGTCCGCGTTCAGAGGTAGGTGTTCCTTTGTTGTTACTCTTGACATCATTCTTGTATGTTAAGCACTCTGGAGGTGATTGGGAAGGAATTGTTTTTTGAATGTGTCTTTATTGATTGGCATTAAGGATAGTGTTCGTTATTTACGCAGGATGCGCCTCTTAGTACAGCCTCGTCCAGGAGAAAATGAATAATTCTATTTCATGAACATGAAACGTCTATCCTAGCGTTGAAGTAGATCGATCTCTTTTGCGAAGACAAAAAAGAACGCTATTTAATACACTCTATAGCAGATGCTGAAGGTCCCGTTGTATCCTCAATCGTGTGCTGAGACTGCTTGTTTTGTGCAGATTTGTGGAGTGTGTTCGCGCACACTTGCTCAACGGTCTCCTTGGGCCTCTTCGCGCGTCATGGGCTTTCACGAATGTAACGTTATTGGGGTACTGGTTTGTGGCCACACCTACCATACTGAATGCCTCGAGCAAATTACTCCTGAAAGTGCTCGTCAAGACCCAGCTTGCCCACGCTGCAACTCTGACAAGGGTATGCCTAAGAATTCAATGATATCTATGTCTACGCAACTCAAACCTAGATCAGTTCGAGGAAATAGCTTCATGAGCAGGCCAAGTCCGAGGAACAAATTGTCCAGGGTTGGAGTGATGGATGACAATATTGGTTCCGAAAAGCCAAAGTTTTTGATAAGCTCTTCAGAGGAACCTTCTCCCTGATCAGTTAGTTCCTTGACAATGGTTGTGAAGGATCTCAAAGCTGCGATAGACGGGTGACTTGAACCTGGTTCCATCCTCAACAGGTAGTTGCAGAACTCTCACACTTTGGAGTCATGGAATTTATCGCATTCGTAGTATTGAAGAGTGCTTCAGGTCTATCCGCTAAAAGTGTCTGATGCTAAATATGCTCTGATTACCCGCACGCTCGTCATGATACCCAGCTCACAGGCTGCTTCCGTCCTCCATTTATTCCGGTTTGCTATTTGTCAGGTTTGCATGCATGTGATTGCGCCTTAGGTGTGCATGCAACACATTGTACGAGAGACTCTGGTCGATGGAAAAGTTACTGCGAAGTGATGTTATTGAAGGGCTGTTCTAAAATGCCCATCAGAAGTGTGTAGGTTATGCCTTTCATTTGTGAAGTTTCGCCGTCTCTGATCAATTCGAAGTCACGTTTTCTCGTTGCTCTCTGAACGTGATTCTGAGGCATCAGCAGAAGCGTTGGCTTAGTGTTGGGAAGTGCTGGCCCTCAGTTTAGGCTCGATAGCACCAGTATTAGAGCAGGCAACATCCATTGGGTGCTTGTCACCTGGTGGAAGCCTTTCTTGATCGTGGAGGGTAAGTGACGGAATAGAAACTCACAATTGAGAGCTCCGACATCCCTCTTTTAAGACTGAATAACTCTCCTAGAAGAAGTGGAGGCGCGTGGGTCGGAACTACTTTGTTTTACTTTGTACCATACTGTTCATATTCTATGTAAATACTATGGCCTGATGGCAAGTATAGGTACTCGTCTGCCTTCGTAGTCTTTGCTCTTTAAGTCTGAATTATGGTAATTCTTGGTGTGCCTTGAATATACCCTTTTTGGAGTTCTCGAGTGTTCAATTATGTTGGGATCATCATTTCGCAGAGCAGAAATCCGGAAATTGAGTGATCCCTCTTGAATAAAGCTCTAGCGGTTACCTCTAGCTTTTGCTGTCCACAAAGGAGAAAAAGGTGACAGCAAAATTCTGATTGCCAGTTGCCTCTTGTTACCCAACTTTCACAGTGGCTCTAATACTAATGCCTTTCGACTTATGATATGCATTAGTAGAGATGGATACTCATATGATTTAGGCTGGGCTTCGCTTGGTTCTAAGTCGATACCAAAACTTTTAAGGTTAAGTTGAAGTCTAAAGATGCATGCAGCGATGCATTTCTGACGAATTCAAATTGGTTACACATGTACAAAAAAGCAAACAAAAAACACAACCAACTGGCATTGCATCTCCTATACTAGGGATATCCAACAACGTTAGGAGAGAATGGCAGTTGGACCAGTATAAGTTGAGCTGAATATCTACAGTACTAATTAAAGACCAATTCATTAGACAATTGAACTAAATTAAACAACCGAGACGAAACTGGAGGCCAGCAGTAGGTGAAGCGAGAGGTTCTCTGGTCCCAGCACAATCAGCCAGGTACATTCACGACTTCCAATGGAGACCACTGTCTCGGTCGGATACTAATTCAAATGTTCTGTAGCGTTCTGCAGGCCAAACATTCCACGACTCAGGCAGGAAGGATCAAGACTAAGAGCACAAGCATACCGTCATCGAAAAACTTATTTTAGCATTCAAACAAGGCATCTGTCCACAAAACGGTGACAAGTTGATGGTTCTTGCAAAACCATAGTGATCTACAGCATGAGAAATGCTCCACCGTTGCAGATCTGAATCTTCTCCATCCTATACAAACTAAAATGACTTCCACGTCTAATTTTTGAGCTCCGTCCGCATTTATGGAGCTACTAAAGAGTATCTACAGCCTTAACCCTGCATGGGAAAAGGCCATAACTGCATATACGCCTGTAAGTCAGTCACCGGTTAATCAAGAGCATTATATTCGCGACGAGAAAATGCGTTAGATGAATTGAGGAGCTCCATCAGCAAAGGAAGACTCCTGGTGGAGATAATTGCTTATTTACATCGCACTTGAAAAGTAGGACTTTCCGCCTCAATTGACTGGGGATCGGATACTAGAGCACACAATTACTCCCAGGGTCTAGGACTTGGTAGCAGCCTCAGCTGGTGTCACGGTGTTGAGGAAGAGAGCATGCACACACCACCTTCCCGAAGCTCATCCTGCAGCAAGTCTTCATCCTTGGGATCGGTCCAACACAGCCTTCACTGCTGAAATGCGTCGCGGATGAGCCTATTCGGTTAACCCTTCAGTAAGCTTCTTCTTCTCAGTAACGTGTTTTTTCTTCTTCAACAGGGCAGGGTGCTCTGAGGCAAGGGAAGCAGTATCCGAGCGGTCGTCTTTGGTTTTGATGGAGGTGATGGGCACAGTATCATGAGCATTGTCGGCGGTTATCGTCGATGGTGACACATAATTCGAATTAAGCTGCGACGTCTTCTTCTGAATCAGCTTCAACATGTTGAGAAAGCCATTGCTGCGTGACGGCGTCAAGCTCTGCTTCAGCCCTAGCATGTGAACAAACTCGGGCGTCAAATTCAAAACCTCCTCCACCATCACGCCAGAAAGCCCCTCCACCAGCAACCCCGCCAACCCTTTCGTCAGCAACACATCCGACTCGGCCTCCAGGTACACTCTCCCATCCTCGGGCTTCACCTCGCACACAATGTACACGTTCGACACACACCCCTCCACACGATTCTCCGGCTGCTTATGCTCCTCCGCGAGCGGTTTCAGCTTGCTGGCATACAGCAACAACTGCTCACATTTCGCTCTCGGCTCGGTCACACTCTGAAACATGCGCACTATCTCCTGCAGCTTCCTTGGCAGCTCTTGGGTCGCTGGTGGTGGTGGTGCTGCTGCAGCTGACGAAGACGACGACGATGACGTTGTGCAGCACCTCACCTCCCTCGATCTCCAACTCCCCACATACCCACTTCGCAAGCTTTTCCAAAAGCTTGGATCTGACCTCGACACACGTACGCGGGGCCCCAGCGATGCTGAACTGGCGACGAGTTTCCAGGAACGGGGAGCAAATGGCGATGTAGCAGGGGAAGACGCCACAGCCATCGTGGACGTGGCTATGGCCATAGCCAGAGCCGGATCCGGCTGCTGCTCACTGCACAGTGTTCTCCTAATGAAATTACAGACTGAGCAGCATTTCCCTTTGTCCGCAACCGTCAGAGGCAGAGGGGAAGGCGAGATCCTTTTCCGCTGGGTTTTTATCTATATCACTCACTTTCTCTCTCTCTCTCTCTCACTCGCTCTCTCACTCTCTTTCTCTCCCTCTGTTCTTTTTTTATTTTTTTTATTTTTTTTATTCCCTCGGCTACTGCGGGTTTTTCTCCTGTTTCCCTCCCCCTCCTCACCCCCACCTCCTATAATGCCGACGTCTAATCATTCGCTGCTGGAGTGTGCCAACCATACATGTCATTCTCTGAGCATCTTTGTATTATTGGCGCAGTGCGTTCGGACCGAACCCCCTTGACACTGAAGGGTTGTAAGTAACGTGTTGCAAAGTGGGGGGTGGGGTGCTGGCAATCTGTCATCATCATCCCCCCCAGGCCAGGCCAGGCCAAGTTCGTGACCTCCGCCTGGTTGAGCCAGTCAGCCAGCCAGCCAGCAGGCTCTTCTTCTTCTTCTTCTGCAACCATCTCCACGTTCTGACACTCCTGACTGAACACTTCTCCTCCTCCTCGTTAACGCCGTGAAGAAGCCATCGCTGCTTGCTTGCTCGCCCTTGTGCCTGCCTTCCCATCACGGCGCACTGCAAACATAGTCACACAATTCGCACCCACCCACCACACCCACCTTTCTTGTGCTTGCTTTGCGTGCCTTTCTTTGCCTTGCTGTGCTTGATTCAAGCAACTCTGCGTGTCTCGATGTGGCTCTCTCACTCGCCTCCGTCGTCGCCGTATGGATCTGGTCAAGCTCTCGCTGGAGTCATGTTCCATGCTGCTGCTGCTGCTGAATCTCCTGCAACACATTTGTTAAGAGATGAGAATACACTTGCAACACCATTTTCATGCTGTAAATCAAAAACAAACAAACAAACAAACACACACCACTCTCTCTCTGTCTCTCTCCCACTCATACACACACACACACACAGTTTCATTCACAAATACACACATGTGTGTGTTGAATGAGATGCGGTTGTGGTTGATTTGGGAAGAGTAGACAACGATGTTGAGCATGTAACCCAGTGTTGGTGTTTGTGTTTGTGTGTGTTTTGGTTGTTGAAACATACTTTGGTTTTTTTTGTTTCTTTTTTTAATATTTTCGTGGTGGTTTTACGATGCGAGGATTTGAGATGTGGGTATTTGGTATACGACATTTGGTAAATTTAAAATGTGTATGGGTATTTGCTCTCTTTGGCTGTTGATTCCATAAGTTGGGCCTGTATGTGGAAATGTTTGTGATGTTTAGTTGAATGGATTCACCTAAAAGAGTGTCAAATATTTGGAAACTCTAATTTTTGTATATATATATATATATATATATATATAGTGTGGTACTATTGTGATTTTTTTGAAGAAAAATTTAATTTTGATTATTTAATATATATATATATATATATATATATATTACAATGTTGTACATGAAAAGAGGAGATAGGAGGTGTTTTTATTTCTAATTATAAATAAGTGATGTTATTAAGTAGATGCCCCTATTTTGCCACTACCACTTGAAGGGTGATCTATCAAAGAAGAATTTATTATAATTGGTGAATAGGAAGATGATAGTGTAATCAAGTGCATTTGATTTACAAAATTAGATTATGATGCCTTGAAATTCTTGACATAAATGGAATCTTGATCTTTAAAATTTTAGGAAATTAATTTTTATTAATTTTTTAAAATAAAAATTTAAATAAAATATCACATCATAGTGAATGGATTGGTGTGTGCATGGAATCTATAACATTGGTAAAGTGTTCCAATTGCTAAAGTTTAGTAGCATCTTTATAAGAATGATGAGAAATAGAAAATTATTTTTGTTATAAAAAATGATTGACATAATATATTGAGATAAATATAATCACAGATAAATAAAATAAGTATTTATATTAATTGTGAGATTTTATACAAGTTTTCTTAAAATTCTAAATTGATATAATATATGAATATTTGATATGTATTGAAAAAATCCTTTTTTGAACTTGGTATATGTTTATAATATAAATGATATAATATTGAAATTTCTTGCTAGTTTTTAATAAGTCAAATGAAGTTTGAAAGATATATAGATGTATATATATGTATATATGTATATAGTTAGTCATTCTTAGAATACATATCATATTATATGTATATAGTTAGTCATTCTTAGTTACCAAAATGAATATATTTGTCTACTTGCAGCCATGGAAGTAAACCAAGGTAATTCTCACGAATCAAATATTACTTGTAGTGTTTTTATTTTTATTTTTATTTTTAGATTAAACTTTAGAATTGAATAAGCTCAAAATGATAATCAAATTTTTAAAGAATATTCAACAAAATGTTTCAATTAGTCTGAAAATATCCCTTCAACATCTAAATCAAACCAAAGTTTATAAATATACACTCTTTTATTTGTTTGTTTATAAAGTAGTAGAATTTTTTCATAATCATGTTTGTTCATTGATATGCAATACGGTACTTGTTATCATCAGAATTCATTGTGAGATATCAATCTAAATGCATTCACTTGTTTGTGTGTTTTTTTTTGTCTTGTTTTTTATTTAGTGTTTTAAGTTTTTTTTAATATTTTTATTTAATTGTTTATCATTTTCCTATTCACACAAAAACACACAACAAAGAAGTAGATATTGAAAAAAATCCACGTGAATAAATGAGTGTACAGGAATTATCTTAATTTGCTTTTACTGTGAGTGGTAGGCTTGACATCTGTTCTAGATTTTGAACTTCTTTCGCTTGAGTCAAATTTTCGCAAGAAATTGTTTGTTTGCAAATTCCATCGTGCATTAATACTACGAGGGTCTAAAACCCAAATCAGCCAATAAGAAGTAGTATTCTAGAAAATATACATTTTGCAAGCCATGTTCAATATAACATAATGATATCTAGTGTATAGAAAATATTATCTAGTCTCTTATCTTCACAAAAGATTCAATCGTATCATGATGCACTTTATTTCAAGTTTGCACAACAAATCAGCCTTCGATTGCAAGTGCGACTCCCAGATGAGCATACCTCCAAGCGGCGAACTACATGCGCTTGTCGAGATCCTACTGATCAACCACAAGACAATGAATGGAGATCAGACAAGAAGAAACGCTCGGCGAGGAAGCTCAACACAAGGCAAAAACTCGAAGAAGAAAAAAGGGTAGTTTGTGATACAAAGAACACATGTTACAAAGAAAATGTTGAATCAAGAAATGAGAAACTAAATCACACCAAGGCATGAGTACAAAATGAAGGTTTTACTTGCATTGCTTTGTGTGTCAAAGTTAGCGCTTATTTAAAAAAGTCATCTACTTGGGATTTGTGGTCATTACTTTCTCTAATGTTTTTATATGCGGTCATCACCATTTTGTGTTAGTAGTGGTGTTTTTGTGCAAGTAGATGATTCTTAAGTTTACTTGACGTCCCTAATTGTTGCAATGTTCACTGACGTGTCTTGCTAATGTAGTAGCTTGGAAAATGTGATGTGCTCCAACACTCTCTCACGTCACATTCCCCAGTTCAAACATTTCTCTCCCTCTGTTTGGTATGCCGCTATTTTTTGACATTGAAGAGTTGTCATCGGCCGAGTTACTTGGAGTTTTTATATAAATATTTTGGTTGCTTGCACGTCGATTTTTGCAGACTCTGTCGAACTATCTATCGAGTGCAATTTTCTTGTTGAGGAAGGCGAGTGTCGATGATATAAACTTTGTAAAAACAAGTTTGTTGCCTGGACTACTAGACAACCTAGTAACATAGTACATATGGTTGAGGGTGAAAGCCGACAGAGATTTCGTATTATTGGTGTAGCTTCGAGAGGTGAACAAGAGGTTGCAACGGAAAGTTGAGTTGTAGCTCAACTGGTTGGTAGCAAAATTTACAAAACTTGATAGGATTGGGTATCTTCAAAATGCACATTGATATGGCTTGCTTGTAGAGCCTGTATAGCTTTATTTTCATGATGACTTGTTAGCTTTTGAATATATGGTGATTGAAAATCTTCTATAATTTACTGGGTCTAAGAGTGAAGGAGAAAATGTGGTAGAGTATTTGAGCGGCCTCAGCAACGGATCTGGTGCTCTGCATTGAAAGACACAATTTACAACCCTTCTGTGTTTTTGAGGCCGATTTTGCTGGACTTCTGTAGAAAGATGGTTCTTGCGAGAGACTTCATAAAGATGTCTGCATGCTGCTCTTTGCTTTGAATATGTATGACTTCAATCTCTTTTTATGTAATTTTTTCTTTGATGAAATGATGCTGGATATTGATTGTTTTGTTCTTGCATGTAGGATGGGATTCTTAATTAATTTAGTTGCGCTCAGATTGTTGCAAAAGAAGGGAGCCGGTTTGGTTGTTTTGATGTTTAATAGTAGTCTAGTCCATATTTTTTCATTTGCTGCTTCAGTTAGTGATCGGTATTTGATTTCTGTCAATGAAGTTGCTATAGTAGGTTAGAGTTTACTTTTCCATGTAATTAGTGCGTAGCCTTGTTTGATGAGAATGCCAGTGGTTGATTTCCTTCCATCTACATCACATGCTCAGTCCGAGTCTAGAAAGGCACGAAGCTGCATGTTGTTTTGATTTGGGAAGAGTATGCCCATTTTGATTGTTCGTTGGAGGTACCATAAAACACGTTTTGTCGCACTCATGTGTGCTTGTAACGGATTTGCCATGAACTTGCTTAGTATAGTAACAACATAGGATAGGTTGGCTCTGGTGTAGGTAATGAAGATCAAACTTCCTATCAAACTTTGGTATATGTCAACATCTACTGGTTCAGAATCCATGCGGGAATGTAAATGCGCTGACTCCTCCATTGGTGTGGTACAATGGTTAGATTGTTGTGGGCCAAACTTCTTGATTAGGTTTGTTCACAAACTGAAAGGGCTACTACTGGCTCAACACGGGTATATTGCAAACTGTAGTCCTATATAAAGTTTTGTTTTGCCTAAATCCGACATTTTATACCTCTCTTCTAATGCTTCTTCGGTTTTTTGAATCTCAATAGTGTTATTCCATGTGAGCATTCTGTCATCTACATAAAAGATCAAAAGTGTGTATAGTGTGGATGTGGATACCTTGATGTACAGGTTGTAATGGATATTGCTTTGATCAAATCTGAGGGTTATAAGCATCAAATTTAGTGTACTATGCGTCCCTGGATTGCCGCAAGCCATAGATGGAGCGTCTCAACTCGCATACAAAGCTTCTTTGTTTGATGTCTTCGAAGCCTTTGGGCTGTGTCATGTAGACTTTGTTGGTCGAAATCCCGTTTGGATACGCAGCTTTAACATCATGGTGCAAAATCTCCCTCTGTTTCCATGCCGCTATTACAACTATGATTCGAATGGTTGTCCATTTTACAGTTGGCAAAAAGTTTCTTGGTAGTCGAGGCCTTATTGTTGCTGAAAACCTTGTACTACCAATTTGGCCTTGAGTTGTTCGGACAGCCCATCCGCGCTCAATTTGATTCAAAAAATCCATTTAGTGGTTACTGGCTACTTTCCGGGGGACAGCTCCACCAATATCCAGGTTTTGTTTTTGATGAATGAATCAAATTCACTCTTCATTGCGGCACGCCATCTGGGATTGGTACATGCTTTGTGGAAATTTGTCGGCTCTGGGATGGCTTCTGCTGAGAATATGTAGTAATCCTTGAAATAATGTGGAGCTCCCCGTAACCTCAATGACCGATGGATCGGCGCTGTTGTAGTGGTTCTGGACTTTTGCAATAGTGTGGGTTGCTGATCTAGGTCTGACGAATGCTTCGATGTTGTATTGAGTGGGGGCATGATGCTAAGTTGTTGATTTGGTTCAAGTGAATGCGGTGGTGCTGGGTCGTGCTAGAGCGGCGACAATGTTGTCTCGCGCAAGGTCATGACACTAGTTTCGTCATTGTTGTTTGGACCCGACAAATGAGCGACGATATACCG